GCAGCTTAACTTGAAACTAACATCCGTATTTTCCTAAAATACACGTGGTGACATTTTTTATATCATAGCGCCAATTTATCAGCAACGAGGTGGCTTCGTTTCGTGTATTTTGTCGACCCTACATTCAAGAACTAGTGAGTTCAATTCTCAGAGGCACAACATGAAGTATTTTTAAAAAGATGGAATTTGATTCCTTTGAGTCCGGAATTTACATCAATCACTGTGTTACGGGGACAAGCCAGAAACGGCTAGTAGTCGATTTCCTTAGAACCATGCGCTTTAACACAAAATTATGAAATTCTAAAATTAAATATTAACTCAGATTTTAACAAAAATAGCGGTGACGCTGGATTAGAAGACTTGCAACATGTATGCTATTCGCAGAGTCAAACATTCGGTAACCAAGACATACTACCTCCAAACTGTTCAAATACATTGCATTATCGCATATTGGAAATGAATCCTTAAAGCTTATCTCACCAACGACCATTAAAAGGGAGTTGTGAAACCGTTCCTACTGCAACCCAAATTTAATAACGAACTAGGGAACTAAATTAATAGATTATAAATGAACTGTTTACTATCGTCTGAAAATCTGACCTGGAAAAAAACTGGAAAAAACGTTTTAGTAATTAACTCATTTTAACGTATTTCCATGGATTATAAGTGTATGCTTGAGTACAAAATTAGTTTTTAAATCATTAAGCGTTGAAAATTAAGTTTGGTAGTAATCAGAACCAAATCTCACTTATAGTAAACGCTGGCAAACCAGTTCAACTTTAGAAATCTACAAACCTGGGATCTGTTCAAAGATGGCATCAGAAAACCACAACTTATCTAGAAGAAATGCCAGAAGCAGCTGCTGATGTCAAACGCAGGGTTTTAGCTGCAACATCAAATTTAGAAGCCATACTGACTATACAGGTACCTAGATTGCTGAAAGAACAGAATTATCCTTTGAACGAGCAAAAGATTGGTCTGTTACAGAAAAGCTGCTAATGAAGCATTCACTAACAACAGACCATATCAAACTCCTTTGCCGCGATAGATGGTCTTCAAAGTCGCATTTCAGTTACCTGCGAACAGTATCATTTCCATGGGCTAACTGGACTTAGCTTCTGTTAGCGTATTTAAAAAATGACGCATTCAGCTCTGGGTTGAAATTGTTATATACATTGCATAAGTTTAATGGCCAACAACTTATTTAAGACCAAATTTTACAAACTACCCTACAGTTCCCACTTCCTTTCTCGCAGAAGGCATTTAATCAGAGCCATGAGTCAATCAAAAACTCCTTCATGCGAACCCATATTTCAATGTCCTAATGATAGCATACAAACATACATACATATATACACACATATGCATATACATGTACACTGATCCTGATAATAAGGTAGCAAAGTTCTAACGACTAAAACACTATAATGAGCAATAATTTTTGGGAATTTAAGAAAATGATATGCATGCATCACTGTAGATCATTACACACGGCTCTGACTTCCTCAACTGCGAGTAAGCAGGTGATGCAATATGCTGTGAAATTGGGTGACTGGACGATTTAAGTGCCATACTAAGTATAAATCGAATGGTACCTTATCTATGCATGTATTTACAGATCATCATATTAAATACACTAAATAAGAAACCGTTGATCACTGAAAACTCCTACCTTTGGAGGGCGAGTCATAAAGTTGATCTGCGTTATGTGCGCATCGTCTTCGCTGTTCAGGTTAAAGGTGAACACAAAATCGATGGTCAACTCGTCTGAAATCACAACACTGTATTCGGCGTTCTTCATGCAATACAGTTACACCTACAGAAACATGTTCCGTTCCCATGACCGCCGACTCTAACGTACTTCTGTTCACACCTAAATTGACGAACATTTATTAAAGCTTCATTAAATGCGACTGTGGTAGCTTGAACATGTGGTAAGGCTGTTAGGGGAGGAACTAACAGCATAAAGCCATCGCAAAGGTATATCGCGGGCAGTCAGAAGGGCAGAATGAAGGTACGACAGAGCATGTCCATGTTACATATGATATTGTGGCGTGTTGTAGCTTAGCCAACCGAATTTGGTCGATGACGAAAGACTAGGATCGTTTAAAAACCTTCAAAAACTGCTGCTCAACACCCCGGAAAAATAAACTGAAAAGTCAAAGGTAGAAATTAAAAATGAATAACTTAATCACGATTAACATGTGAATTAAAAAACACATCTGAATACCATGCGTAGTGATAAACATTTTATAGACAAAGTATTGTAAACGGTCAATTAAACGCCGTTCATATGGCCAGTATCTTTGCAATGCAAGATGTAGCGGTAAAAATAAAGAATACATGCCTAGTCTGTAAGTACTGCTTATAGCTTGCCCGGAATGAACCGCACATATTGAGAGTAATTAAAATATGTCACAGCCAAGTAATCTACATCTATTCAAAGTTGAGCTACCGAAAAACCCTTCAAAACTTAAGGGTTTTTAGAACTGTGACAATGAAATAAGGCACCGCTCTATGGCGTGAAGGATTCTTTACGAAAGCACCAGAGAAAATTTTTGGTGGGCCAAGCTTCACAGAGCTTTCACCTCGAAACCCGTTCTGTCAGAGTGACGGGCGAATGGACGTTAAAGAGCAAAGCCATTTGCCAAAATCGAATGGAGTAGCAAATGGCTTTCAGTCGTTTGTGTGCAGCTCGAGTCAGACTAGGCAGACTGCGGGAAGATCGATGGACTTCAAAACAATGACGAATTTGTGCCCAAGGGGTTGCAAGCGTTTAACTGAATGACCTAGACTCAGACGGGATGATGGGCTAATAAAGAGTAAAGGGAGATATGGCAGCTTTGGCGACAAACTGTCCGAGACAGATAGTGTGCATCGACACTAGGCGGTAATGATCCGCGTTAAACCGGAAGAAAGAGCCAAAAAATGTTTTCGATGCTGTTGTAAACTTTTAACGCATGATTGTTTTGAATAACGAATGGCGTAGAGCAGCTAGAAAGGGGTAACAGTCGCTATCTGCCATAATAGTAACACTCTTAAATAACCGAGATCAATTTTTGTTCACAATACTTAACGTGATCGTCAAAACTACGTGCTAAGAAGCGATTGAGAGGTAACGTCAGTATGAAAGCCATGGAAGTGAGAATATATTCAAGTGTACATAAAGAGCAATGCATAAATCACGTTCACCGGCTAGCAACCCTCATACTCACTTGTCGCAGTTGAACCCTGAAACACCTTTCGTCATACAAAAGCAGTTGCCCTTGTAAGGGTCACATTGAGTCGCTTTCCCGTTGCAGTCGCACCCTTAAACAATAATTGCGACATTATGTATCAAGTTCAGCACGCTACTTACGTGTGCAGTTTCCACCATTCAGTGCATTACCGTAGTAGCCATCGACGCATCGTTCGCAATGATGTCCTTAAAATAACGATCAGCGATTAAGTCAAGATTCGCCTTGATCAAAATGATGCTACATTCCGATTGTCAAACAAGTGAAAATCTATTCGCTCATTCATTTACACAGCATGTCGTGCCTTTCGGGCTTGGAGGGGGTAGGACCTTGAGGGAGCTCCTATAACAGTTTCGATGTCTCGCCAACTAGTAAAACGTTACACAACTAAAAAA